GGTATTTTAATTTTTGATTTTTATATCTTTTTATTATTTTAAAAATATATAAAATGTTAATTATAATAAATATTAAATATATTTTATATATTTTTGTGATATTAAAAAAGATCAAAAAACATATACTTGCAACTATAGACCAACATTATCAAATTAATATTTAGTTTGACAATGTTGTTTGTAATTACAGCTATAGGTTTTTGATCCTTTAATATCTTAAAAATAAATAAAATATATTTTAATTAATAGTTTATATATTTTTAAAATAATAAAAATACACAAAAACCAAAAGATAAAGTATAGAAAAATATTATCAAACGAAATCTAAACCTAAATCATTTGCCTTTCATCTAATTATGAGATTGTTTGGATGAAAGAAGTAGAGTGGCTCAAGGAAATGGAGGCTAGGTGAGGGAGAAAACACATTTATTTGATCCCCAAAAAAATTGAAGGGAACCTAGAGGAAGGAAGGAGGGAAGGAAGCTTATTTTATTTTATTTTTTATGTCAATTCCTTTATTATTTTTAACTTGCAATAGGAGTGACGAAGAGAAATTAAAGGACATTGCATCTTCTCAATTTCCTCCCTTCCGTTTTCTTCCCTTTGCTTATTTTTCTTGATTCAAATAGTCCTTATATTTTAACAATTTAACTTAAGCTTAGTAATGAAATTAGTCGAATTTAAGTTTTATCAAATTTAAATACATGAAATTTAAATTTAAACTTGATAGTCCATAATAAACTTGTGAGTTTAGCTGAGCACTCAATTAAAACAAAATTTAAATTAAAGTAAAATATAAATTTTAAATATTTAATATATTCGGGATTCAAACACCAACTCAACTTAAATTTGATTTTTTTGAATTCAATTTTAAGCTCAAATTCGAGCACACGATTGAAATCTGTTCAATTCGTTTACAACCTTAGGCAAAGACAAAAAAACATAAGACGGGAGCAACGACAGACACTGAAAGGGATTTCAACCAAAACCAACACAAGAGAACCAACTTTAAATTATTTCATTAACTAACTAAAATCATTCATGTGTTAATGGTGTTAAAATAAATAGCAACTTTTATAATTTTTTATATAAATTAATTATAAAAAATATATTTATTACATTTTTAATTTATACTCTTAAATATAAGTTAAATAAACTTGTACTCTAATAAGGAACGGAATCATGAATTTATGTTAGGAGGCAAAATTTTAAAGTTTTTTTGTGAATCGTTTATCAGTTTTTTTGATATTATTTATATCAATTTTCACATTAATTATTAATTTTATGCACATACCACATATAATATTCATGCTAAATTTTACATTAATTAAATATTTTAAATTATTTTTTAATAGCATATAATTTAAAATCATTAAAAAAATACTATAAAAATATAGTTTATTTTTTTATAAAGTTACATATATCAAATTAACTTTAAATTTGAAACATATTTACATAAATAAAATATATTCAACAATTAGTCTATTAGAATATTAATTATATAAATAAAAATTATATATAATCAATGCAATAACTTATATAAGTTATATTTAATATAATTAGATTTAGAGTATTTTTTTATATTTATTCCTATTTAGATAAAATTAATATCTTTATAAGAATTAGTGCAAATGATCTCTTCATGTAAATCATAAATATTTTCTTTATATTTGAATGGTTTCTATAATTTAAACTTCAAAAATAAATTTTATAAAAAAAATAAAAATACTTTTATCATATTGAACATCTTTCAAAAGTTTAGGAGTAGGAGGCGGTTGGCAACTGCCCCTTGTCCTATGCTAGCTCCGCCCCTGATTCTATACAATAACTATTTTAAATCATTTAATTTAATCTGTTAGAACCTTAGCCATTAAAACAAAACAATCCATAAAAATTTCTGCCTCAATTTCATAACCAAACTTCCGTATTTAATCAAATTCTTGGTGTTCGCTTTGGAATTTGCAAGTAGATTTTAACCTCAATTCCACCATCAAACTTTTTTAGACCCTTCTTACCATCAAAACTGAATCCGAACAATTCTTGGATTCAAATGGGAATTTATTCCAATATATTAACGCCTTAGTTGCCCTAAGTAAGAAGTTAAAATATAAAGTTAAAAATACTAATTCGTTTGAAAAAATTTCATAAAATTTTTTAATAAAAAAATGGACATTATAATTAGTTTTCACCAATATCTTAGTATTGTGCTACCATATTTATTAGGTAATTAAGATTCATTTCTGGTCTTGTCTTTGTCCTATTCATGGATGCTCAATATGATTCATTCATATCTCAACATTTTAAAGCAAATGATCATGAGTTTAAAGTGTCCATGGAAGTACTCTCGGTCTACTTAAATGTGTGATTTGTTTGTTAGAAGTTAGTTGGCTAAGTCATGAAAATAATATTCCTTCTGTTTATTTTTAAGAATTTTAATTTAATTTTTGTGATTTCTTAAATACAAATTTTAGATAAAAATTTAATACATTATATAAATAATAATTAAAAATTTTATTTTATCAAATAAAAATACTTAACAAAAATTTTATATAAAAAAAAACTTTTTAGTTATTGTTTATATAACTTAATAAAATTTTATTTAAAATTTATGTGTAAAAAATTTAAAAATAATATTAAAACTACTAAAAAAGCTCATAGGGAATATACAGGAACCCAGGCATCCTCTTCCTATGAAAGTGAAGTTCATGCTAAATACCAGTTGGAACCATCTATCAGCGCTCCCTTGAGCGGTAAATTCAGTGGTTCTGTTCATATCTCTACTCTACATATTGTTCCCCAGCAGGCTGTGTAGAGAGGCTCTGGGGATCACTTGTCATGGGGGAGAAATTGGCAGTAATGGCTACAATTATATCTTCTTTCGAGGAAGACCCATTGAAGAAACTCGAACCGTCTTGCCACAAGTCGTGGAACCATTGCTGATGCTGTTAGAGTAATAGTTATTTCCTAATTGCTTTGTTCTACATGATTAATTTAATTTATGATTAATTTAATTACTTCCCCTGTTATTCTCTGTTTCTGTTTTTGATGGTGGGCTTACATACCCGTCTTCCTTGGTTTCTTGAAATGCACTTTTTTTTTTCTTAATGTACTTTTTTAAAAAAAAAAATTTAAAATAACTGTCATTTTTCTTTAAAATTAAAAATGTAAGCACAATTCATGTATTTGTCTATATTACTCATAAGAAAAAACTAAAAGATAAAGTAAGATTTTTTTATAATAAGATAATTAATTAAAAAATAGATAATGATAAAATTAAAAAAAAATATTTATCTACCTTAAAAATAAAATAATAACAATTAATTTAAAACAAATTCAAAATCAAATAATAAAAGTTATTTTAGGACAGACGATGGAGGGAGTACGAAGAGTAATTCTTCTTGTTGCAGTGCACATTGTTGTCCTTGGGAACTTCCTTAGGGTTTCGTTTGACAATGTTGCCTATAGCACTTTTTACAAGACTTTTCGTACCTTATACATTTGATAAATTATCCACCTCTATTTTTTCGGGGAGAAGTACAAAAGTCACCTAATCCAAAATTAATAAAATTTCCAAAATACAATTATCAATTATATTTTTTGCACTCTGATCACGTTTCTTCATATCAACAACAACTACAACTATATAAGAACACTAATTTCTTCTGAATCTTGTGTTCTTTCTCACCACAAACTTTGATTCGACTACAATTGCTCTTTACCCAAATCATTTGCACTATAAATTTCACCCCTCTTGAACTATCCTCGCTTCATTGGTTTGATAATTGTAAGGGGTGTCTGTAGATGGAAATTTTCTAAACAGTGGGCTAAGAAGGAGACAATTGATATAGAGATATCTTATTATTTTAGGTGAGTATACTTTTCTTATGGGTTTAATTATTCTCTAGGTCAGTAAAAGGAAACAATAATTTGGATTCTTTTCTCATAGGTATCAAGTATAGTCCTTTTCTCTTTGATTTGAACCTGATTTTGATTTAATTCCATGTTCACTTTTGATTTTGCACCTCATATTCATTATCAACTCACACTTTTGTTTGTTTCAATTAGTACTTTGAATGTCTTGGTTGTTTTCCTTGACTTTAGTAAGTTCCAGTTTTAAGTTCATATGGAGTTCTAATTTTAAGTTTATGTTAAGTGAAATTTTGGTTATTCATTTGCTGAAATTCATGGTGCTTTTCATTCTTTAATTAGGTTCAATTTTGGTGTCACTTTCCACAATGATTCTTCTATTGGTTTTGGTCCTAATTTCATGTTTTCTTCTTTGAGTCTAAAAAACGGTTTCCCAAAATTACCAAGGATCTTTTCCTTGTTTTTTTTCTTTTAAAATTTAATTGTTCTCAAGTCAGTGTTCATCTAAAATTAATTGTAAGTTATTTCACATTTTAAAGTGGTCTAAGCTCTTCTAATTTTGGTGTTCAAGTCAATATGTTCATGTGTTATATGGTTAGAGTTCATTATGCTTTAAGTTGTCGTTCTTCATTAAGATGATACATTTTCTATGCTTAATTACTTTGCTCCAAAAGGAATTGATTTAATAGGTCCTTATGTTGAATCATGAATTTGTTAGGTTCTCTTTGTATTTTGATGATGATTTAAAACCATGATTCGAAAGAGTTTAATCTATTTTTGTGCTAAGTGTGCAGGAAAATTAATCCAAGGTTTCTAATCTTTCCCCACGATTAGAATTAACTCATGTTCTCCTTGTTCAGAGTTCTAGGTTTGAACCAATTTATTTTGGTTCGAATCAATCCCGAACTTTTGTTTTCCGAAAATGGTTCGAACGATCATTTCTGGCTTCGAAGCAAAAAATTCTGAAAGGGTAAAATTTTGACAGCTCAACTATCCGTTTATTTTAATGGCCTTGGGAGAACCAATTGTCTGAGTATTTTCTAAAGTCAAGTCAAAAATAATAAAGTAAGGTGGAATCTTATTGGAGCATATGTGAGGTGGCTTTGAAGGGCTAAATGGGCAATTAATGGCAAGGCTCCAAAATCACCTATTATAATAAAAAAATTCAGATCTGGAAAAATGCAGAAGAAGGACGAACTGCTCAGAGAACTCAGTTTGAAATTGTTCTGGTTTTCCTTCTTCTTTTCTTCTTGTGAGATTTTGGGTATATTGTCTTACAAGGGTTTTGTATTCTTCTTGGATTAGGTTAATCCTTGAAGGGGTTGAGTGAGTTGAGATTCACTTGTGAGGGTTTAATCTTGCACCCGCAAGCAAGAGGTTGTTCTGGTTTAATCTTGCACCCGTAAGCAAGAGATTTCTAGTGGATTGAACTCTCGAGCAAGGAGGCTTGGGGAGTGGACGTACTCTGGGTTGGAGGAACCACTATAAATCGCGGCTTGATTTTCTCTTCCCTCTCTTTTATTTTTCTGCACTATATTACTCTTGTTTTATTCTGCACAATAGCTTATAAATTGCAGCTTTGATTTAAGTCTTGAAAGGAAAAGAAACAAGTTTTTGAGTTTAAATTGACAAGACCCAATTCACCCCCCCTCTTGGGTAGCTAGCTGGGATTACAGAATTTCCTTTATTCTAATATGTTCTCTATATGTTCTAGTAGGAATGAGTGATAACATCACAACTAAAGATGTTAATGCCAAGGCATATTGACCTAGGAATCCCATGGAAAAATTTTGTGATATATGTTCGAAATATAACAATTAGGACATCATTCTAGGAATACTTTCTCTCCCTAAGCTCGGAAAGCTTTAGTTGCCGAATTTAACAAAGAAGCAGGAGTTGAATATACTCAAAAAACAACTTAAGAATAAACAGGATCAACACAGGGTGGATTATAAAAATTGGAAATGGCTTAAGTCAAAGGTTACTACTCTGGGATTGTTAAAAATCAAGGATTCCAGAGAAGAAGAAGATGGAATGAAAAACTGAATCTCACGTTAAACTGAAAATAATCTAGCCTTTAAATAGGCTTTACAAGATAATATTATTTAAAAAGATAACTAACCAATCTTATCTAATCTAATTTAAATAATAAATCTAATCTAATTTAAATAATAACAACTTAAAACAAATAAATAACTTAGACTTCCTAAATTATAGAGATAATGGCTAAATAATATGATCTAATTTCCAACAATCCCTCCCTTAAACTGAAAGTCTTCAAACTTTAGTTTAAAGAAATTTGGATGTCACCATATTTGCAGATCTGCAATCTAGAATCTGTAGACCCCCCCTCAAATTGAATTCTACATGCTGCAAACACCAAGTAACTCTCTCAGTTTTAAAAAAGTTGCTACTTTGAGGGGTTTTGTGAATATATCAACCACTTGATCTTCTATTCTGCGATAAATCAACTCAATTGTTCCATCTTCTACCAAGTTGTGCAAGAAAGTATACCTCACATGTATACGCTTGCTTCTCCCATGCAGAATTGGATTTCTAGAAAGCTTGATGGCTAAACTATTATCACAATAAATTGAAGTGGCCTCATGTTGATTCAGCTCAAGTTCTTCCATAATTCTTCTCAACCAAATAACTTGACAAGAACAAGAAGTTGTTGCCACATACTCCGCTTCTGTTGTGGACAAAGTCACAATGGGCTGCTTCTTTGAAGACCAAGAAATTGCACCAGATCCCAACATAAAAACAAACCAAGAAGTGCTTTTCTTGTCATCTAGATCTCCAGAATAATCATTGTCTATCAAGCCTGCGAGATCTATCTGGTCACCCTTCTTGTAGAATAGTCCAAAATCTATAGTTCCACATAAATACCTGAGAATTCTTTTAGCAGTTTGCAAGTGCAACTCCTTTGGATGCTCCATATATCTGCTAATCAGACTTACACCATGCATTACATCTAGTCTTGTTGCTATCAGATACATCAGACTTCCAACAATTTGCTTATACAGTTTGTTGTCCACAGATCTGCCTCCTGGATCTTTCATGAGCTTTACACCTTTGTGAATTGGTGTAGTGACAGAATTGCAGTTCTTCATTTGAAATCTGTCCAGAACTTTCTACACATATTTTTTCTGACAAACAAAAATTTTAGAATCTGACTGTACTACTTCCAGACTAAGAAAATAATGCAACAAACCCAGATTTGTCATATCAAATTCAAGCTTCATTGACTGCTTGAACTTTTCCAACATGCAAAAATCATTCCCAATATAAATTAAATCATCAACATATAAGCATATTATAATCAATTTACCTTCATCTCCAAATTTGATGTAAAGTGTCTGCTCATAAGGGCACTTTTGAAAACCTTCCTTCAAAAAATAAGCATCAATTCAACTATACCAAGCTCTAGGTGCTTGTTTTAGTCCATATAATGCTTTCTTCAATCTGTAAACCTTATGCTTAGAACCAAATTTCACATAACCAAGAGGTTGATCAATAAATACTTGTTCTTGCGGATTTCCATGCAAGAAGGCAGATTTCACATCAAGTTGGTAGATCGGCCATGAGTTCTGTGCTGCCAATGCAATCATCAATCTGATGGTATCCATCCTTGCAACTGGAGCAAAAACTTCTTGATAATCAATGCCAAACTCTTGCTTATAACCCTTTGCCACCAAGCGAGTTTTGAATTTGTCAACCGCCCCATTCTCTTTGAGCTTTGTCTTGTAGATTCACTTAACACCAATTGTTTTGTGCCCTTCTAGAAGATTTGTCAACTCCTAAGTCTGGTTCTTTTCAATAGAACCAATTTCTTCTGCCATCTCTTTTTGCCACTTTTCTTCTTTAACAACTTCTTCATATGTCAATGGATCATAATCTACAAATAGAGCAAAATGAGGAACTGGAACATCATCTTGAGGTAGATCTGTTACCTTATAATCTTCCAACCATGCAGGTCTTCTCTTTTTGCGTTGAGGTCTGGATCTAGTTCTAGATTCTAGTTCTGGTGTTGTTGGCAGAGTTCCTCCAGTACTGAGCTTTACTTATGTAGGCAGACTTTCTTCAACTGTCTGTCTTAAAACCTCGAGATCTGTTGAAGTTAAACCTCCAGTCTATTGTGCTTGACCTTCTGAGTTCTGCACAGTTAGATATTCTCCATTTTCAAAATCTGTAGGAATCTGTTGCCTAGACTTTTCTGTCCAAGACCAGGTGCTTACTTCATCAAACACTACATCACGGGTAATGATGACCTTCTTGGTTAAAGGACTGTATAATCTGTAAGCTTTGGACTGATCACTAACACCAAGGAAAATACACTTTTCCCCTTTGTCATCAAGTTTACTCATTTTCTGATCTGGCACATGTGCATATTCTCTGCACCCAAAAATTCTAAAGTAATCAATAGCAGGCCTACGTCCACTCCAAGCCTCTTCTGGCATCAAATCTGGAAGTGGAGATGTGGGACTTCTGTTCAAGATATCAACACTCCAATTAACAGCTTTTGGCCAAAACTCCTTAGGCAAGCTGTTCTTTGACATCAAACTTTGCACCATACTCATGATTGTACGATTCCTCCTCTCACATACACCATTCTGTTGAGGTGTATATGCTGTTGTGAGTTGCCTTTTAATGCCATTGGACTCACAAAAATCTACAGATTCCTTTAAATTAAACTCACCACCATGATCTGTACGCAGAACCTTTACAGATCTGCCAACCTCATTCTCAGCCAAGACTTTGAAATTTTTAAAGGCTACTAAGGCTTTTGACTTGGTCTGCAAAAAATACACCCATGTTTTTCTCTCCAAGATTTGTCTTTAGGAAAGCTGTCACAGTATTGTTTACTGACCATGTAGATTTCACAAATTTCTGAAGGAGAATCAAAATGAGGAAGACCATTTACCATCTTCTTCTGCTACAAAGCTTTCAACCCACCAAAATAAAGATGTCCAAATCAACAATGCCATAACCAAGCTGTGTCCTTTAATCTGGTAGATAAACATGACAGATTTGTAGTCTACAAGTGTAATGGAAACAACCTATTTCCTGTCATCTTGACCTTTGTAATTAGGCCAAGTTTTGAATCAGGAATTTGGAAACTCCATTTTTAATAAGGATTTCATATCCTTTTTCCTGAAACTGTCCCAGACTAAGTAGATTCGACTTCAAATCTGGTACATACAGAACATTAGAAATAGTCTGAATTGAATTGTCTTTGGCACGAATGGTTACCTTTCCCTTTCCCTTGGCTGCAATAGTGGAATTATCACCAAATTTCACCTTGTCTTAACAAGACTCATCCAAATCTGAAAACGTAGATTTGTCTCCACACATGTGGTTGTTGCAACCAATATCCAAATACCACACATTCTTCTTGTTGACTTCTTTAGGATGACAGACCATGAATAGAGAGGAATCGTCATTCTTCTCATTATGTTCTACGAAACTGAAACTTTCTCCTCTATTCAGATTAGCACGGCACTCATAACGATAATGACCATACTTATGACATCTGGAGCATTCAATATTTGCCTTTCCTGCAGATTTGGATCTGTTATCTGCAACTTGATAATTTCTGTTCTGCCACCTCTTCTGAATTCCAATGGCTGAACTTTCCTCCAATCTGTCAGATCTTGGTCTGCCAGATTTT